TGGAGAGTGGGCGGTGGGGGGGGGGGGGGGGGGGAGGAGGACAGCGGGGGGGCGACGTCGGTGGCTGTTCTCCATCCAAAATAGATAGTTGTTAACTTAGAACGTACAAAGAAAGAGTTGTATTCACACAGGGATGCTACTGTGTCTCCTGTTTTTCTTGGCTCACAATAAGGCGGTTGGATAAAACTGATGTTTTCGTCTCATTACCCCCCCTCGTCCCCCCCGTTCCCCCTCCCCGCTTCATTCCACTGCCGTTGATTCAACCGTAAAAAAACAAAACAAAACAAACAACATAAATACATGACAGTGGTTTCTGTCCGGTGCAGATAAGCTCCACCATCACAGTCCACACCCACTCTCCTCCCACACCCACTATATCTCAGGATTTTCAATTAAGGCCGACGGGCGGGATTGTAAAAGGGTAAATGATGGGGGCGCTAACCTGCGCTGCCTTCACTGTGATTTGAATTCACTGCTCAGTATTTATCAGCAGGGCGGCGCTGCAGAATCACAGACAGACTGTTACGTCAGATAAAACTGTCAGAGTAAGAGACAAGTTCATGAGGCGGAGGTTGTCTAGCTGTTTTTGCGACGTATATTTAGCTACTTTACTTCTTTCCTTTGGCTAATTTAATACAATCTACTTTAAGGCTAACTTCTTTTGTTTGGCTAATTTAATACAACTGTGCAACTACTTAAAATGAAAGTTTCCTTTTTTGCTTGGTCTATTTTTAATAATGTATTTTTTTTATTTATTTGATAATGTTCAGTTCTTTTAGCAATCTTTGTCTTTATTATTTTTGATTTTATTTATTGTCTGAATAACATTAAGTAAAGATTTTTTTAAAAAGTGTGAAATAAAAGTGTACACGTTGTAAAATAAATCTACATATTCCACACTGTGGATTCAAAGATCCCATAAGGAGAAGGTCAAATTCAAGGTCATTTTTGTTCAAGTCACTTCTGTTTTTTCTGACTGTTTTTTTTCCAGGTGTCTGATTTTCTCCTGACAGTCCCACAGCATTCACGTCGATGGATGATTTGTTTACACCGTTCCATATGATGTTACATAACTGAGGCTGTTGCCGTAGCAACACCAAGATCCCCAGCCCCGTCTCCACTCCCTGCTACCTCTCTATTAAACACACACACACACACACACACCCTCTCTATTATTACGGGACGTTCTCCGGCCACGACTCCGTTGGCTGATTTAACGCGCCCTGATACGTTAACGAGACGGCCCGCGTCCTCTCCGCTGTCGGGGAAATGTTGTTCCTGAGAGATGTTTTACGGTCACCGGGAGGAGAAACATCTCCACACTGATGGCTCACCCCGGAGTTGTTTGATAAACAAATTAAAACATTCACCACATTTTTACTGCCGGCGTTCAAACGATCTGTAATTTATGGCTGTCCGTCCGAGTGCGGCCCGCACGAGAGCGAAATGGACCGAGGCTCGTGGTGAACACACACACACACACAAACACACACACACACTGAGTCACTGTTCATTAGTGAACATGAGCAATTCTCTCATGAGGACTCATTTGTGTCTGGAGGATGGTGGGGGGGGGGTCGAAGGGTTATTTCGACTGTAACTCCAGGTTCCAGTTGTCTCAAACAGTAGGAATTTTTCTAATTCTTAACATGAAGAGAATGATGGACAGTGAAGGACAGCAGGGGGCAGTGTGCACGGCTGACGTCTATCTGGTAAACGTGAAAATATTTCTCCACGACTTCGGTTTGGTCTTCATGATGTTCTTCATGTTCCTCCAGGAGATCTTCCTCCGTGGTTCCTGCACAGTCGATGCACGTGATCACAAACACCGTTGACCCCTGAGGTCGTAATGTCCACAGGAACGTAAACAAAAAGGACGACGTCGTCCATGAGGAAAGTTTAAATCGACACAGAGGGAAAACCTGTGAACTTTTTAACCCAAAACAATCTCCGGTTTTATGATCGATACGATTTTCCATCCAGAATTGAACACATCGACCACGTGGCGACACCTGGGACGGGTTCACGTAGGAACGGCTTTGGTTCCTGCTGGGATTTCCCCAGAAGGAAGAGGGTAACAGAAAAGTCTGTCAAATGGAGCGTCATCACGTGACACGTGATGTATTTTAGGAATTTTCTCAAGGAAAGATCGGGGGGAAAAAAGTTGACTTTTGGGATTTCATGCATAAATTAATCTGTTTGTTTTTGTTTTCCCAACAGTGCAAGCGCTCCCAAGTGGCCATATAAGAGAATGCAGTGTTCGGAAACCTCTGAATATTGGCTTTACTTTCACTCATTTATGTATTTATTTACAGTAAGAGGAGAAATGGAATCCTGACGGAAAATGGGCGACAAAGACAGTAAATAAAGGGGAACAAACGGAACATGAACAAATGCCATTATAATAAAACCAAATAAACAAAAATCTAAAGAAGTCGTGCTGTGAAGATAATCCAGCTACATTTTCCTGGCAGATGTGATTTCATCTCAGGTTGATTTTATTTAGTTTGGTTTAAAATGAAATTTTTTCGTTTTTTTTAGCAGTGCTGCAGCTCCCTACTTTCTTTTTTTTTTTTGTCTTACCTTGAACCCCTGCCATGGTCATCAGTGTCAGTTAATGACTGCAGAGTTTCCACTGGGCACCTGTGGGCCCGGGTACGACTCCCAACTGGAAACGTGACGACATCCTTAGTCCCCGAGTGGGAAGTGGGAAAAGGGAGGCCAGACATGAACACACTGGACCCTAGAGGAGAAAAGAAGATTTGTTTTAAAGGCGGAGAAGCCTGGTATGGTGTCAACGTTTCCAGTGAGGCTGGCACAGAGGGGAAAAACTCCACTGCTGCTGCTGCTGCTGCTGCTGCTGCTGCTGAGGAAAGCCAGGTTTGCTAATAAGGGAAAATGCTCTCTCTTCTTACATGATGATAAATGAACTGAAGAGGGAGCAAAAATTAAATAACGACTTTCTAGGAAAGAAATGTAAGATTTATATAAAACCACAAAAGAATCTCACGATAAATGAAATGATCGTGAAACATCCATAAAACAATGCAGTTTTTAACCCCGTCTGCAGAACTGTAGAGTTTGCACCATGTCAACACTTTCCACTTGTTTGCATGGAAAACATTTGCTGCTGGGAGTGAAAAAAAAATGGAGGACAAGGGAAAAAACCCTGTCAGCTGTGCTGTTGCTACTTTTAGATTGTTCTCTGGAAAAGAAAGAGGGCAGGAAGCAGAGCAGCACTTTCTGGGATGGCTCGGAAAAACGCTACATTTGTCGCTGAGAATAGGGAGGAGACGGCGGAAGCGTCAGCTGATTTATGCATCACACAGCTCCACTTTATAACCTTTTACCACCGCTGCAGCTGGGACCCTGGGGAGAGTCAGAGTAGAGCAGAGACCCAGAGGTCAGAGGGTCAGGGAAATCTACAAAATCCACAGTATTGATCCTTTAATTGTCCTTTGAGTACAGGCAGGGGTTTGATTGCTGGGCTGCATGTTAGCACACCACAGCTTTCAGGGGATGCTAACGTAACGTAGCCTGAGAATTACTGCATGTCCACCCTTAAAGTGTCCAAATGAATTCCCTTTGATGACCAAGAAAAGGGGTTTTTATTTGGATATTTAAATCAGAATAGTCGGTCCTAAAGAGGGTCCTCGCCCCACCTCTTGTTTCTTCTTAGATTTAATATCCACTCTGCATCTTTTAAGATGCATTAGCACCAACTACTGGTTCTATTTTCAACTGATAAACACTTTGAAAACCAAAACAAAGGAGGAGAAAACACCAACAGGGGGCAGTGTCACTGCAGGTGAACAAACCATTAACCTTTTAACTGCATTTGTTACTGCAGGTGAACAAACCATTAACCTTTTATGAAACCAACTGCATTTGTTATTAAATATGATGACATTTTATTCTCTATATCTAACCATTAAACAGTGGTGAAGACGCTGTAATTATGCTGATCACACTTCTCCTCCAAGGTCAGAGTGAAAGTCAGGACAAGAGTGAACGGGAAACCCTCACAAAAACACCTCATTTATTAAGGAAACGTACTTTCCTGTGAGCACAACGACACTGGCTGCTTGTTTTTCTCCCTCCGTGTCCTTGAGTGCCTTCCTCCAGACTCACTGCTGCGTCTGGACTTGCAGGGAGAGCCCTGAGAAAGTGCATGCAGTCCACTTTCTGGAAACTAAGTCAGTCAATAATGCTGAATCTGCTCTTCGAAGGAAATATCTGCCTCATTTCCTAAGAACACAAGTGAGTCAGCAATTACATCCTGTAGGCGTCACGCAAACACGAAAAAAAAAAATGTTTTTTTTCTTCTCTAAATAATTGGAGAATAACAACCAGCGAGTGACAGAGGAATTTAGAATGTTTATTTCAGTGTGTGTTCTCTGGGGGTTTAATGTGACCATAAATATTAACTGTACACACTTCACCTTCACTTTGTTAGGAAGACGACAGGGGTGGAAAAAAAAAAGAATGTTCTAGTTCCCTGGTGGTTCCAGGTGTTCTCTATTATTTTCAGCCACAGCAGCAGAAAGACGCCAGGATGAGAGCAGGAAGACGTCGTGTTGTTTTCTACACTGGTTTAGATACGCAATTATACAGTTTTTCTTTGTGTGATTTAGATCCATTCAAATGACACAGGTGTGAAATCTGTGAAATACAAATTTGGAATTTTGTGAAAAATACCCTGTTATGTAAGACAAAAAAGAAAAAAAAAAAAGTACGGAGCTGCAGCATGCTTAAAAACATGACTTAATAACAGGGTATTAAAAAGACAATTAAATTATTAAATTATTATAGTTTTATTTATAACTAACTATAACTATATTATTTATAGTTTATAAGTATTCATTTCTTAAATAAAGTTTAGTATCTTGACAAACATTTAAAGTAAAAATTACCACAAACCGTCAGAATGTCAAAATTCAAACCAGTTAGCATTGTTAGCCTCTCAAAACTAGCATCACACTGAACGCCGCAGGAATACTGTTTTTTTCAGCAGCATACTAACTTTACGACAACAATGAACACAGCTTCACTTGGTGTCAGGTTAATTGCGTCATATTAAAATAATAGAAAATCAAAAGTCTGTGGTTGTGTTTGTTTGGGGTGAAAACACAGAGATGATGAATTAAACATGGCTCACGGTTCAACCTCCTACGCTGCAGCTTATGTAACGTCAGCTCCGCGTGGAGGAGCCCATGTATGTATATCACAGTGTGTGTGTGTGTGTGTGTGTGTGTTATTTATATCCAGACTGGGATTGAGGGAATGGTGACTCACTCGCTCTGCTCTTTATTTTTAACCTCACAATCTGAACGCCCACCGCTCACACACACACACACACATCGTACATATTTCTCACAGGAACATGAAGAAGAAGACGAAGATGAATTAAGCAGCGAAGGAAACGTGTGTTGGTTCAGTCGGTTCCCTGTGGATCCGTGTAGTTGTTCTGTCATTACATCATCAGAGCATTTTTCTCTGGAGAAGAATTAACTGGAGCCACGGGCAACGCCAGCGTGTAGCCATGGAATGCAAACGCTGTAAATGTCATTTGGCTGATGTTCAGACGTTTTTCAACAAACTCTCCTTTATTGTTCAACTATTTCTATGAATTAATGATATTATTATTATATTTTTATTACCACAGGGGCTAACACTAAGCTATAAACTGCTATTTTATTTTATTTTTTATACACTTTACACACGATAGCTGTTGACTACTTGCTGTTATCATTTTGGCTAACGTTAACACAACTTGGCCCCAGAAAGATTTTAGATTAAATACGTTTAATTACATTTATCTTGTGTGTATTTTAGCTCACTTTTGACTCATTAAAAAAGATTATTTTGCTAACTATAGGCTATTTCTGCGCATGTTATTTCTGTCTTTCATTTATGTATTAATTATATGAAACATATATTACATTATAAAAAAATTTATATATTATTTATTCCAGTTATTTTGCTAACTATAGGCTATTTCTGTGCATGTTATTTTTGTCTTTTATTTATGTATTAATTATATAAATTATATTATACATATATTATATTATAAAGTATATTATATATTATTTTAAATATTTATTCCTTTTTACTGTGACGCTGTTCCTGAAAGATGACTAAAATGGTTTCAACTCTCACACTCGTTGGTAACAGACAGACAGACCTTCTCCTCTACACCGACCGACCCTGGTGGTGTACAGTAGGACGGAGTAACTTTAACTTCTAGTCAGCACAAATTCACTACTAACTTTTATTACTGGAGGTACACCTGTCTGAAAGTCTCTCATCTGCTGCTCACAAACCTGCAGGCTCAGCTCCCTCTCTTTCTCTCTCTCACTAACACACACATACAATATCTGCAGTACCTCATCTGACCACCATTTGGCAATAATATGCTGCAAAGGTTAAACAATAAGGGCCCACGCACCACCAGTTCCATGATGTCAACAAAGAGTTAATGATCTTTAGAATCCAACTGAAACACAGTTCGTTCTTGAACCAAAGTGGGAAAATTCCACAGAATCTGTTGAGAGACAACGTTCCGAGCTGGGAATTTAACTCGTGCATCATTTATCATTCCAAGGAAAGGACCACTGGTCCTGTGTGGAGTGCTGCAGGTCTGATGTAAACAGGACGACAGCATCATCACAGTGGACCACGTCACTCTGTGTGGACCTGTGTTTTTGTCCCACACTCAGGACTGGAGGATTTCCTTCCCCGTCCTCTCTGTTATGTAACTTCCTTCTGTCAGTTGTAGCGTCTTGAAAAACATCACCAACATCAACAACATCAACAACATCCTTCATCTCCATCTTCATCTATAATGGATTCACACTGGAGGAAAACGTCACTCCTCATCTTCACGGCACGACTGTTACACAACACCGAAGAGAAAAAGAAGAAAAGTTCTCTCTGAGGTGAAACATATGAGTCACATCGTCTTCTTTCACGTCACTCTGTCTCTAAGTCGTGTTAATATTTATATATGACTCATTTTTGTTGCCGCTCTGCACTAATTTGTACCACGGAACCATTTATTCAACTTCAAACTACTGTTTATTTAATGCAGCTCTGAGGACGCAAATGAGAGCGAGACAACTGAGAGAAGCGGAGAAATACAGAGGTACAATGCCGCCCTCTGGTGGAGTTTGTGGAACATGGCAGTTTAAAAAATTAAAATAAAAAGAATTAATTTTAAAAATATTTTAAATTAAGTCAAATAATCAGAACATCATAATTTTACAGTAAAATAAATTTCAGGTAGTATAAAGTAACTTGAATAAACTTTAGTTTACAAATCAATTAATATTTAGCAATTTATCATAATTATATAATTATGATTTTAATATAAATATTTGTATATGTTTTATTTAGCACTTTTAATGATAGCTTAAAATAAACACAGAGTCTAAATTCAGGTCATGTTTTTCCCTTTTGTCTCCATTGTTTTTTGTTTTAAAATAATCAGGTCCTGACAAGGTTTTGATTTATTTTTAATAACTTGATAACGACTGTGTTTGATTTATGTCATTCTTCCCTCGCACGCGACCTGACCTGGTGACAACAAAGGCTCCTCATCAGGGACTACATTTATTACTGACTGAGGAGGACCTCGCTGGAGGATCCTCATTGTTCTGAGTGAGGAGGAGACGTGGGGGGGAGGTGGGAAGGGGGGGCGGGGTCAGCAGGAGACCTCTGAAGAACAATGGAATAAAACTGTCTGCTTTTCTGCTTTATCAATGTTATCTATCATCATTTAATTTGTCATTCACTCATTGGTCACACTGCTACTTTGCTAATTTTTTAGACACTTTTTTAGCCGCTTTTCATCTGACTTTTAATTCTCACCAGTTCACATTTCCAGACCTTTAGCAATTTTTAAACATTTTAAACTTTTGTCAGCATTTATTTAACATTTTGGATATATTCTACTTACTGTTTTATACTTTTACATCTACGTTCACCATGTAGCCTTTTCTAGTCTCTCGCTACGCTTACATATTGCTCTTTCTGGTTCAGTTGAATTTGGGCAACTTTTGGCATTTCTGCGTTTAGTTTTAGTCATAGCTTATGTGTTTTTTTAGACAATTGTGCTAATGTTTATCAAGTTAAGCTAATACGCTAGATTATGAAGACATCACCAAGAAGTAGTATGTTTTTTAAAGCTAATTTATGGCTACCTTTGAGGCAACCTTCTGTTATTGTTTGACTTTTTTTTTTTTAAGGTTGGCTTAGCTACACTTTCTTTAGCTTTATATTGTTTGCAGCTTATGACAGCAAATTACACACAGAGGAATGTGGAAAATGTCCTTCATTCACCGGCACTGTTTACAGCTGAAGTGAGCGGAACTGATCGGTCACACTTACAGGAACCAACACTGACCCTTCACTGTTGTCACACGTCTTATCCTGTTTATTAGAACACATTGGTGCTGTACTGTATGACAACATATGTTTGTCTAAAAGTTAGGCTTAGTTCAGGTTAACTTTAGTCATTGTTCAGCTGATTTTTACAGCTACATTTAGCCTTTTTCAGACCAAATTTATGTTTACTGGACAATTTATTATTATTATTATTAGATATTTTTCTACTTCACTGATAGTTTTTATTTATCCTTTAGCTTTTTGATGCTTACTTATCTATATTTTGTTTATATTTTTGTTAACATCACACAATTATTATTATTATTATACATCTATTGTAATTTTCAAAAGTATTAAACAGCAGCTATGGCTAACTATTTTTTTTTAATTTTCTAAATTTACTCACCGTACTCATTTTAATTTTTTTTTCATATATATGTTTTGAAAACAATGGCTTTCTCTCATTTAACTTTAAGTCTTTTTTCTAACAAATTTGTGTAAAATGTTATGTCCAAACTAAGTGTCATTGGTCTTTTAGCAGGTTTGTAGCTAATAAAAAGTTATTACTAGTCAATCGTCCAGTCATGACTCCAGCCTCGTGGCTGTAACTCAGTTCTCATCACTGCTCCGACCTTGAGAATCAGGACTGGAGCACAGCGACAACTTTATCCTGGAACTTTTTTTCCCCAAAATTCCCAAACCTCTTTAGAAGATGCGGTGAACGCGGACGACATCAATCAACACCGTTCCTCAGCTGCAGACATTTTCACACAGTCTCTGTGCCCTTCTTTTATTTCCCAGTCACCCAGACATTGTATAAATACCAAGGCCACATTCCCACATTGGAATGTCTTATGAAAAACTTCCTGTGACCTCTGACCTCTGACTGTTATCAGCTCCACTCAGCCTCTCTGACTTTTTGCTCATGAAACTGCCGCGGCCGCTGATGAACACAAACCACGAGCCGGCGTTCTGTTCTATTAACGAATAACAAAAAACAAGGTGATAACAGCGGCGGACCTTTGTCCTTTAGAATCCACAGGAACGCTGATTAAATTCCAGCAACGTTACTCACAACAGAGACACTTCACTTAAATCCTTTCAACCTCCCAGGAGGAGGAGGAGGAGGAAAGAACGCTATGCTGCTGAAATAGCAACAAAATGTCAGATCTGATATGAGGAGAAGGGATTGTGTCTGGCTCTGGATTGTGTTTTGTTCCAAAGAGAAGTTTAAAAAAAAAAAAAAGCGATGGAGGTTCTGCCCCTGTCATTACCAACATGGAAGGTCACGTACAGCGGGCCAGTGTTTGGGCATCATACCACTGAGAGAAAACACCCTGTTTCCTTCTGACCCCAGGCAGACAAAACACACTCTTCAGCTTTTCTAAAATTAGTTACTGCAGTACAGCACGTAGTGGGGCGTACCAGGTGGTACAGAAGTAGCCGTGGGCTGGGCCACGATTGGAGGACACGTATCCATGGCTACAGGATGACAGGCCTATATACACATGTATAGACCCTAGAGATGTCACCGTTATAGATTACCTTGATACGATTATTGTCAGATTGTCAATTCATCAGTATAATCACGATTATTGTGCTTGGATTTCACAGCACTGAGTGTGCAACGTCACATGACCACTCCCTAAGGGTTAATAAATTTAAGCCATTAATATACCACGGGAAATGTTTAATTTATTTAATTGCGAGCTATACCAGATGTTTAAGTTTATTTTCATCGTTTTAATCGTCTGTCTAATTGTATTTGGCCACAAAATAATACTTAATCACCAACTATTTATTTTGGCGCGTTTACTCTCAACTGAGAGCCGAACCCGTGTCGGACTCGTTAACACAATAATTGCAAATGACAAGCTAACATTTCATTTCCTACCAATTCAACATTACGTTAGGAAAACGTTGACGTAATTTAAATACTGTGTATTTACCTTGACTTTGGCGAACACAGTCGACTGGTTGTCCCGCCGTTGGTGTAACACACTGGTTGCATTTCCTTCTTCCGCTGCCATCTTTAATGGCGGGGGTTTACTAGTCGACGGTGACTTGTTTGTAGCCAAAATAATCCCACACGTTTTATTTAATACACTTGTTCGAGGAAGGGTAACTCTTCTTCGGTCGTTTTGTCCCACACGGACACGACACTCTTCTGTAACTTCCACAGACCGAAAACTAAGCAACACCGACAAAACGTTGGAGTTGTGTTGCCTTGTTTTCGTTCCGTCCGAGTTGTGCTTAACTACAGTTCCGCCATGTTGTTTTCTGACGGTGTTCAAGAAACGTTAAAATCAGTTAACCCTAGCGTTTAATATCACATGTAACTGTGATATACAATACGTACATGTAAATACATATACATATGTATATTAATATATTATTATACTATATTATTAATAAACTATATATTGTTTTATTATGTGTATATTAATATAGTATACAAGTATACAAGAATACGAGTGCAAATACATGAATACACCCTGCTACATATTCCCTGGTGGTCTAGTGGTTAGGATTCGGCGCTCTCACCGCCGCGGCCCGGGTTCGATTCCCGGTCAGGGAACACATTTTTGTATAATTCCCCCCCATGTGGGGCTAATAAAAGACCACCTTAATATGCAAAGATAAACAAGTGAAAGCTGTAAAGGTCAGAAACAGCACCACCCAGTGACTATCCTGCAAAAAATGAGTGTATTTCAACTTGCTGTTATGTAAGTATGTACAGTGGAGCAGTGTGTACATAAATATGCCATAGTTATAAATATCAGCAGTTCGTCTGGTACAAAAAGATTAAAAAAGGAACATATGGTACAGTATGTACAGGAGCCACTTTGGGTTTTGCACATTTCTCTGCTTGGATTGTCCGTAAAAGTCCATTCACACTTCAGCTGAGCTGCATGCAGTCACGGCGGCGGTGGCGACGGTTGCCGTGGGGGGGTCAACGTGGTCTGTGTCTGCGGGGAACATGTGGCATTTGGACGACGGTGACGTCACATAGCAGCGTCACAGATGTGAGAGGACAACGTCTCATTTCATCACAGTAGACACTGACAGTCTGTCCTCAGATACTACAGTCCACCAACAAACAAACAAACAAACAAATAAACAAACAAATGAATATCCGTGAACCCCATGTATTCCCACAGAAAACGTTACTTTACGGTTTTTCTGCAAACCATGCTGTCCTCAGATACTACAGTCCACCAACCAACAAACAAATAAACAAACAAACGAATATCCGTGAACCCCATGTTTTCCCACAGAAAACTTTACTTTACGGCTTTTCTGCAAACCATAATAAGGTTATATTTATGAACTTAAATACTATGTTATTGGTAGTTTTTGTGTCAAACTGGTTCAAACAGTACTTAGTTAAGACTTATTCTTTTTTTTTAACAACAAACATTTTTGCAGAAAGTATTTAGGTTTGCGGAAAATCACAATGCGTTTATTGACAATAATAGTTAAATTAAATTATTATAGTGATTATTTTGTAGTAATTTTGTTCGTGATATCTCCTTGGAGTAGTACTACAGTAGTTCACCCTCCCTCGGGCTCTGGGTGTTGTACTAACACCTACATTTTCATCCTCACCTCTTTTTCACACTTTGGGCTTGTTGCTAATGAAAGTGCACGTCACCCTCCCTGACGAGTGACGATAAACAACACCCTGTTTCACTGCACACGACACCCTAGACTGAGAACAACCACAGCATCAACACATTTCACATCTGCTTCACATGTACACGAACAGAAGCTGGGCCGCCGACGCCTTCACACGTAGAAGTCACTGCTCTCACTTCATATTTGGTCCCTGAAATGTTTTCCTCTCAGACATTCATCATGCTCAGAACCTCCGGTGGATTCAAATGTCACTTCATTCGTCAAATGTGAAAAGAATTCCATCAAAGAGGAGGAGAAATTAGGTTTAGGAGGGGAAAAAAGCATTTCTCTGCCAATACTGCCGCAACCAGTTTGACTTTTCAGGCGTTCTCATTTTTGTGCAATGTCGCCCTCTTGTGGATCAAGTGGGCAACTGACGATGAGCCGGACAGTTAGAGCACCCTCAAAACTCTTAAAAACTTTTTAAGATACAACTCAGACAAACTCTCTTTCACCTTCAAATATGTCAAGTTTGATTTTGAAGACATTCGAAGCCACAATCGAACAATCAAGTAAAAAAAAAAAACAGTAAAAAAGATGTTAAATAAAGTTAAGATATAAATGATACTTTGGCATTGACAATCTGATGATATCTGTGGACCAAGAAATCAGCTAGAAATGGAAGATACTGTAGGTATTTTTTTTTATGTTTGTAATTCAATAATCTATAAACTAATAGCAAACTGTGATAATTAGCAAAATAGGTGATGTTTTCTTACTGTCTTTTACCTACTATTTTGAGGCGTTGCTAACATTTAGAGTAAAAGTCCTGTGGCTCAGAAGACACACACTAATGTGTCATAAACATAACTAAAATACCAGCTAAAATAGTATGATGCTAATTTAGCAGCTAAGCTACAGGTGCTACGCGGTCAGGGGATCAATGAAAAAGCTAGATCTTTACATTTACTCCACAGCCTTGAAGACGGAGAGGAACAGAAGCAGCGGATGTTTCCTGTGATTTTCGTCTTTGGGAATCACTGGCGGCACATTTCAAATACTTCAACGTAGAACTGATGCTGGTTTTCTCGGCTCATCACTACTGATTTCTCACCTCTTAGTTTCAAAGAGCGTCTCAGATTTCTGTTTTTTTAAGTTTTAAAAAAGTGCAACATCTTTATAAATGTTCCTACGGCTCCTGGATCAGTTTGAACTGTATTTAGACGTCAGGACATGCGAGGGCGATGGTTTAAACTAATGGTTTAAACCAGTTAAATCCATGAACTAACGGGTTTAACTGACAACTTTAATCACACTAACGACGGTGATGGAAATATTTCCTGCTTATTTCTTATGGATGTGATTATTTATCTGTTAGAACGACGAGGAAGAATGGATTAGAAAAATATTCTGACTGTTCCCACCACAGGAGACCGTTCTTCTTCTTCACCAACACTGTCCGTTTTTCGGCCCCCAACCCTGGTTTTTGTTCTCACACACTGATCGTCAGATCTTGACTTCAGGTCAGCTTGGTTTCTTCATTTGTTAAAAAAAGAAAAAAGAACCTCCTCTTTCCCCACGAGTGCAACATTAAGCCTTCGAAGGCAGAAGAACATCGTCCCAGGGAAGGCTGTTGGCACAGATACACTCGGAAAAAACACCCGGAGCATGGCTTTGGAGTCCAGAGGCTGAAGATGGCGCTGTCCCCACCACCTGAAAAAAAAAACGACCTCCAGGTGTAAAGTTTAGTCAGACTTGGATGTGATTGTTGGAGGACATCTTGTCCCGTAGGTCCAGAGCATCGTTGTCACCTTTTTTCGTCTCCATAACAACGGTGACAGCGGATAAATGAAAGTCTCTGATTGGCTCGTTCGACCCTCTTGGGTTTTTGTTCTGTCCTTCAGGCTGGTTCGTTTTGTGGCCTTTTTTCTTTCTTTACAGAGTGGCCAGAACGCGGGAGAAGGATATGACCATGGACAGAGCGGTCTGTCCTACGCCCAGCACCAGCGCCTCTAGTGGCGCCATGTCCTTCCCCGCCACACGGTAAACAGCTGCAACTGCTGCGCCTGAGGGAGGGGGTAAAAAAACAGAAATCAGAGAAGTAAATAAAAGAGGAAAAAAATAAATAAATAAATAACAGTTAGCCAAGAAAAACAGTCAAAAATAGAGCTAAAAGTTAGCCAACTAAGACAGGCAAAGTACAGCTATAAGTTAGCGTTAACTGCACTCAGTTTAAAAATTAAAAAAAAAACTTCTGCTGGACTCACTGGTGATGACGCCTCCAGACAGCGAGGCCAGGAAGCCGACGCTGACCAGCACCACGGTGATGAGGCGCCCCCTCTTGTGTCGCTGCAGCATGACCAACATGAGGAGCCCCACGGCTCCGTGGACGAAGAGCGAGGAGAAGAGGCACCACAGGAAAACCCAGTACCACATCTCTGGGAGAGAGGAGACAGGAGACAAGGGAAGGTGTCTGGTGAGGAACCCACAACCTCGGTCAGAAGACATTTGTTGTTGTTGTTGTTGTTGTTGTTGTTGTTGTTAGTGAGTCACAGTCAGAACCACTGTGACAGATATGTTTTAGACTGAAGTCAGAGATACCAGTGGGATTAGCTTCAGCTCCCCCCAGTGGCCAAAAAAAGAAATAAAACAGTAGGATTTGTTGAATATGACTTTGACTGACAAAAGTCAGCAGGACAAGAGAGTCAACCAAGAGCAAAGAGACATTGTCCACAGAGGGAACAATCCTGCTTTGTCTGGACAGAGACAACAGTGTCGACAGGAAACAGGAGCTTCACTGATCAGGTGGAAGAACCAAGAACTGTAGATTTAAGATCAGAACGTTCTTCAAACCCAGATGGTCCAGACCTGGCTGAGCGTCTACAGCTACTTATTGATCTGTTATTGGTTTGAGGAGAGGGAGAGAGAGAGGGGCAGGGAGGGGGATGAGGGGGGAGATACGAGAGACAGCAGCAGAGTAACACAATAGTCTTTGTGTTCTACATGACAGGGTAGAGTCAGGTCACACTGCACAGGGTTTTCACTGCCGCTCACCAACAGTGACGCGACAGATGAGGAAGAAGGTTCTGGACTTCTTCTGGGGTTTTCTCCAGTGGTCCATGAAATGTGACCCACCCATATGGACCCCCAGGAAACACACATACGGCCCAGGAGGGCCTGTATTCTGGGGCCTAATCCTGTTGTAACGTATCTGATCATTAACAGTGATGCACATTTAACTAACTGGTTTTGACAGAAGAGCCGCGGTCGTCAAGGACGACCACATGCTTCCTCTCCCTCTCATTATACTTCCTCTCATCCTCAGCACTCCGACCCTTGACCCCGACGCTAATCGAGGTCAACCATCAGTGAAGAAATTCAAATCATTCTTCTGTGTCTCTGAGGAGGAGACGAGGTTAAAGACGGACATGATTTGGGGTCAGGTCGGAGTCGTCATCATTTTATTATCTGTTAATCTGGCCTGGACTTCCTCTCAGGACGTTCTATATTTCTGCGGCGTAATCGTCCATAAAACAAGGCCATAAATCTTCAAATAAATCCATAAAAACCACAGTCAAACACAGCTTTGGTGTGAAGACAAAAATAACAAAATGTTCTAAGTTTTTTATTTTTAGCTAAATGTTAGCTTTGGGTCGGTAACCGTTGAGCTCATTTAGGATCTATTTTGGCTGCATGTACTGTATGTAAATATTAGCTGTCGTTATCTTAAAAGCCAGGGGGAGGTTTTTGTAACGTTTTAGCAAATATTAGCAAACACTGTTAGCTAATTTATGCTTTTAATGATAACATTAGAATTTTTAAGTATTCACGCACGACACTCTAAGGCAACTATGTCAACTTTTGGTGCGTGTCAATTACTTTGCGCTAACCTTTAGCTTACTATCTCTGCTAACTTTTAGTACATTTTCCAGCAGCTGTTCTTGAGGTTTAAGGTGACTTTTATTGGCACTTTTAGACTCCATTTAACAACTTTGGGCTGAATTAGATTTTTTTAAACTTTTTTTAAATTAAGTATATTTCCTTTAGCGCAGGCTAAGTTTTAGATAATCTTCGGCTGTTGGCTAATTTCTCTTGAAAAGACAAAAACTTTTCAGCAATTTAACTAGACATTGATTATAAAAAAACAAACATATTTTAACCCAGTTTCAGGTGCAGATGAAGCAGAAACCACAGATTTCATTCACGTGTGAAACTAAAATATATGAACCAAACGTTTGCTTTGCTGAAGTGAAACTCCTGTGAAGTCAGCAGAGTAAACAGGAAACTGCTGTTTGAGCTGCAGCTCCCCGGAGGCTTCAAAGGAAACGCCTGCAGAGCTCAATGTATCTCCCACATTTACATCTGCTTATGTATGACTGTAATGCTGTCTCTCTCCCCCTCGTCTGTGACCTTATCTGATGTCCCAGGAGGTCGTTTTTCATCTGCCTGGTGACCTGTGGGCTGTAAATGGGATCAGGTGGCAGATTTGAGAAGCCGGTCCCACCCTGATTGCCCCCTCCTCCTCCCATCGACACAGTTTCTGTGCTGCACATGTGCCTGTGCTGCAGCGTCCTGCTGATTCAGCATCGTCAACTGCCCCATTTCATGGCCTTCGCTTCATGTCGTTTCCCAACACAGGATACCAGCTGGGCTGCACACCAGCGGACTGTGCCGACTCAGCTCTGACCGGTCGGCAGACAGGAAGTCAGGGACGCTTTGTCAGAGGAGATATAACTACAACTGACTCACAACATAAAGATAACATTAGTTTGAGTCCAGTCACAGACATTTGAGATACTTACGATGGAAGTCCTTTTCCGGCTGAAAACGCTAAAGAAAATGCCCCAGGAACTGCTAAAGGCTAGCCAACGATAACATGATCAAGCCCCATCATTAGCCAAATGTAAGCCCAAAAGAAAAAAAAAAAAAGCAAATACGGAAAAGTTTCTACGATTGAGAAGCAAAGAAAATGTTAGAAAATAACCCAACGACAGCTGTAACTAAATGTTAGCCGCGATGCTAATCCAATGTTCAACGTTGGTGTAGGTAAAGTGAAAGTTATCACGAGTCTGTCATCACTTCCTGTTTCATCAGACTACAGTCCTGGACCATGTGAAGGACATTTGGACAGGAGTGAGTCAGGACCAGAACACCAGCCTGAGGACGGGGGTCTGGACTGGACTGGACTGGACTGGTCTGGACTGGACTGGACGGCAGTGGGGTTCCATCTTGAAGCAGTGAGGAGCGGCTCTCCCTGTGACCCAGTGTCATGACCCCACCTCTTATTACAGCTCAGCTCATCAGCCAATCAATATCAATCATTAAGACACGCTGCCATCGACTGACTCCTCAGTTGAACCCATCAGTCCAGACCACGCACAGACACCCAGACAGAGCTGCCTGTGATTGGCCCCTGATCACTGGACTGCAAGACAAAGGGATGGGGAGGAGGAAGAGGAGGAGGAGGAGGAAGAGGATGGATGGATGGATGGATGATGGATGGGAGGATAAAGGGGAGGAAGGACAGGGAGGAGGACAACTCCACATTTACTACACACTGTGGAATCACTCATTAGCTTCAAACGTGATGTGATTATTTCCAGAAAACCAACTCAAGTGTCCGGACAGTGAAGGCAGCATGTCGTCCTGTAGCCGCCGGTGGAGGAGCTCCTCCAGCGGCGGCTACACCTCAGTGCACCGCTGCCTCAGCATCACCGCCGGAGAATGAACAGAAACGTTACCATTCTGTGTTTTTATAACCAATGCAAAAACGATGGTGATCAAAATAAGGTGCTGGACCTCGTGCCCCGTCCTCCCCGTACCTGTGAAATGCTGCAGCGTCGATCCCTGCACCCAGAGACTCAGCACCTGCTGCACCGACAGATTGACGGAATAATCCCGGTTCGTGCTCATGGTTCGGCCGCAGCCGCTGCAGCCGGAGCCTCCGTCGCTCTCCTTCCTCCTCTTTAACGAATAAGTGCACTGTTCTTTACACGGAGGCATGGAGGAGACCGGGAGGTGGCATTGGTGGCGGAGGTGGGGAGGAGGATGTGTGCGGAGCGGCCTCTCCCCCGGCACGGCTCCCCCTCTACCGGTGCCTCTGCTTCGGCTTCACGTCCGTCTCCGCAGCGGGGAAGGAGGGAGAAGAGCTTCCGGCTGCTGGCTTCATCCTCGGTGGTGGTGTGTGCAGGTTCGGTGGTGTGAGCGGCGGTGTGAGTGGAGGAGACGGCGGCGGGGGGGGGCGGGGGGGGGGGGGGGCGGGGGGGGGGGGGGGAGACGGCGGGGGCGGAGGCCGTGTGGAGGCCATGATGGTGGAGAGAAGAAGCAGCAGCAGCAGCAGACGCACCGTCCTACATCTGAGGCTCAAACATGGGAGGAAAAGGGACACACACACACACACACACACACATCAGCGGCGGCAGAGGGTGCGCGCGCAGCGGCGATCCTAAGATATCGGGGGCCCTGAGAACAGCCCCCGGCCCCCTTACCCCGTCAAGTCAAGTTTATAACAAAAACAACATATCTACTGAAGTAGAATTCTGTCATTTAAACAGTCGTTATTTCTGCACATAATAATGAACAGCATTGAGAATATTAATACACAAAATACTAGAAAATTAACAACATATATATATGTTGTTAATTTTTCATATGTATGTGTATATTTATATACATATATATATTGAATGAGCAAAAGTAGCGTAAAACAATAAAAAAGACAATTTTGCAGACTAGACAATATTGTAGTTTGGTGCCCCCTATCGCCCACATCATGATTGGTTTTTTTTCTCGTCATTTTTTCTAAGGGACTGCAGTATTGCCCACTCCAACAGAGGGCACCCTGCATAATAGCATCACACTTTTAAAAAAAAACCCACATCATTATTATAAAAGACAGGAATGTCTCACATCTCACTGAGAAACAAACAAATTATAAAAAATAAAAAATATGAGCCGAAAAAAATTAAAAACTATTATTAATATGATTACTTTCGTCAGCCACAGACAGACTAGTAGTAGCTTTAACTCAATCCAACTAACCTCCCCATCCTAATCACATTCTACCATGTATCGCTAGAGGGCGCCAAAGTACCACCACAGGTACAAATACCATATTTTGAGAGTTGTCTTAGATCAGACAAAATAATTAGAAATTACACAGGTTTGTTTGCTATTTTACTTTCCAACAAGCCAACAACAAACTGCCTGTAGGCAATAATTCTAATTTACTCCAACCCCCCCGGGGGGGGGTCTCTGTTGTGTATTAATGAAGGGGAAGAAGAAGTCGATCGGACAACAAACAGCTTATTAAAATATCAAACACCACGTGAATTTAATGAGCCGCTGTTGAAATAAAGGTCAGACCGGAAGTGGGTCGGAGGTGTAATAAATTATCTCGACTGAAGAGGACAGCAGACAAATTAAAATGTCGCGTTTAAATATCTTCATGCTATGATTTAGAATCCCCCAGCGGATAACTGTTCCCTTTGGTCCGCGCTGCGATTCCTGCTTCCGGCCACTAGGTGGATACCGTGTCCTATTTTTCTGAAGTCTCCTCCACCATCATCTCTTTTGTTTAGTTTAGTTTTTTCGTTTTAAAAAAAGCCAGATTAGGTGACAAGGTCACGGTGCGGGACCTCTCCTTGACTTTGACACCATCACTCCGCGATCGAACCCCTGACTCACTGCTGCCGTCCTTGTCTAAAGTGTCTCCCCGTGCGTTTGAACTGTCACTCTGTGCTTTTTAAAAACCCAAAGACTCGTCTTCAAAGGACATTTGAATCTTTGTCTCCTGTGGGGATTTTCAGGGGCAACATGAGACGTCACTGTATCCCAGACACATTGTTTGGTCTCCCACTGACTCAGCCCGGAGGTTCTGCGAGGACCTGCAGCGGACTGTGGCACCCATTGTCCAAAAGTTTGATCTCACGTACATGGAGTCCATTGTCTTGGGTCTTTGGCTGAAACTGAATCTGTCAGGTGAGACATGAGGCTCACAGCCATTCATCTGTGTGTTTGTGTTTTTGATTTTCTTCAGAGGTGAGTCATCAGTGGACACCCCCCCATCATCAATGGACCCCCCCATCATCAGTGGCGCCCCCTCTGTCACAGTGAGGACATCAACTCAGCGTTGTCCTGACTCCAGACTGAAGACGCTGCTGTTGACGTTCCATCTTCTTTCCTTCTGTTTCTAGACTTTTCCTCACGTTTACATAATTATAAGTTAGTTATTACAGTAGGGTAGAACCTGGTACAACACCAGAGTTTGGAGTGATTTATAAACAGGAGGAGGGAAACGGTGAGGAGGCCACAGTTTGGACACCAAGCAGGTAAATGCTAACTAATGCTAACGTCAACAGAGAGAAAACATATACTTCTGTATGAAAAACAATGGCTTTACACCCCTGGATATCATTTCCAGATCAGGTTATTTTGGTTTCTAAAATCCAATGTAGTAAATGTCAAATCAAATGAGTTTTTTTTTTTCCATAAAAATAAACTGATAAACTGTTTTTTTGAAGTGAAGCTACCGTTAGCAGCCTGTCAAGCGACACAGCCGTGTTTTTAACTGCAGGTAGTGAATATTTTAACACTGATTTACGACCTGACGGCGTGCTGGGTGATGTCGGGATTTTGTCGTGACATCGATAATCACAGCACACACACACACAGACACGTATTCTGGTGCTGAGGCTCCGTGTGATTGATGTGACCCAGGGAAATATTTCCACTAAATATACATAAACATACACGCTGATATAAAAGTCAACCCAAGTTCACGGGAACTCGCAGGAACTCCGCGCGCCTTTGTAGTCGGACCAGGACGCTCCCAGAGCTCGGTGATTGTCTGGCACCTTTGATGGCCGCTCTGAAGGCAGGTGTTCACAATCGCAGTTTGAACAGCCACTCTGTTTGAAGTGGCACGGGGAACAAATGAGGGCTTGATCTTTCCTCTGGCTCCACATTAAAAAGACCTTACGTTTGACCACAACCAACGCCGACACCTGGCTCTGACACAATCTGCCCCCCCGGGAGGCAAATCCATCTCCCGAGACTGAACAATTCTTATTTTATTGTTGTAAACTCTATTATCCTCATGTCGTCAGCACCAATCACGTAGCTTCACTTCCACTGTTTCCGATAGCAACGAAACATGACCTCAGTTTTTGTTGTAAATCATTGTCAGATATAAATTTAATTCTCCAAACTTAGTTTTACTTAAAATGTTTTAGTAACAAAGAAAGAAAAATCAGAAGATTTGAAATGCTTCACATTAACAAGTAGCATTTAGCTTGTGTTCTACTTTTTGTGGAGTTCTAGCTTGTGGCTAATTAGCCACCCATTGATCATCACCACCATGTTAGCATCCAACACATAGCATCTAATAAAATAAACTGTCAAAGTCAAGCTAACACTGCTAACACTGCTAACACCCTCAGCCTCACGTTGCTGCAGATCTGATTCCTGTGAGTTGCATTACTGCCACCTACTGGATCTACTTTTCTTCTAGCAAAAACACTTGACTTGTAGCATAAAGAAAAATGGTGTCTTTGAAGACTCAAAGATCAAAAACAGCGCTGAGTGACCGCTGACACTGCCCCTGAACTGTGGGAAATCCAAGAGTGAGAGCCAAAATGGCTGCAGGGGAGGACGGGGGGGGGGGGGGGGGGGGGAGGCGGGGGTGCAGTTGTGATGAAAAGAACTTGAGGACTTTTGCTCCTGGTTTGAGAGACTCAGACATGGGCTCATGGACGCAGCAGCAGCAGATGATTCATCAGAGATGAAGACAAGTTGCTTCATGTTCCTGCACGTGGGTGGATTCTGGTCTAAGGTTGAGGAAACTTACCCTCCGGGGGCATTTTCTGGAGTGGAAAACAAGGAGTTAGTCATTACCAGAGAAGTGTGACTAGACCTTTCATTATTAACTTTTTTCTTCGGTGGTTTCAAAGGAGATAAAAAACATCCGGATTGTTAGCGCTCGCGGGGAAAGATAATGGAACCTTCAAACTTCTCTGAAGGTCACGGCCCTCTGGTCCTGACGTTGGTGACGTTGTTTATGGGGTTTTTCACTGAAAGTGTGAAAAAAAAAACCTTTCATTTGAAAATGAAATCATGTCAATCAGAAAACATTCAGAGGACAGACTGGGCCTGATGCCGTGACGCCCTGTCTGTGCTGCCGTGAACTGCAGTCTGAACTGAGTCCAACTGCCAAAAATCTGAAACTTCACTTATTTTAACTCCTAAATCCTCCCTGGAGTCCTGTTACCTCCGTACCACGGTCAGTTGAACTCGTCTGGAGGAGAGAGGAGAGGAGCGAGAGGAGGAGGTGCAGAAATACATGCAGCTTTAACACTGAACTTTCCAGAACCCAGAAACTGAGACACCTGAACTTTCCAGAACCCAGAAACTGAGTCAGTCAGTGAGGCAGACCGTCAGGAGACACAGATTCCTCCACATCACCTCCTCCTACAAGGTCTAGGTGAGATATGACAAAATCTAACACATTATTTTTAGCAAGCATAGCACATGTAGCTCTCCTTCTCTGGCCTGTAGGAGGTGCTAAGTACACGTTTGAAAGTTCGGTTTCATAGTAGAAATGAAGTGGTAAACCCGTTTACCCAAATCAAACTCTGTAAATTTTCTTTCTACAAGACAGAAAGAAGACATTTAATTTGGCAACATTAAATATTTAGCAATTTTTTTAGCAGCATTCCAGCACAAAATACAGTCGTAGCATGTTAGCACAGCTCCAGTGTGTATCCTGTTTGTGTAGATTATTTTCTTCTGAGGATGAATCTTCACCAAGGCTATACCAAGCTAACCATGCTAACACCTTTGTGACTTCTTTGGTCTCCAAAGGGAAATCTAATATTTTGTTGCACCACTGCCCCCTAGTGGATCTGTTTCAGAATGGTGAATGTTTAACCTAGCGGACGTCCTGATCACTGTGATCAGAACAGAAGCACACGAGGCGATTTGAAACGATTCCGTTTGTCGGTGCGTGCAGCTAACAGCTGTCAGCCGCTAACGACTGGAAATCCAAGGGTTTTTATTGGATTAGACGGAGCAGAGACCACCAGTGAGATAAGAGCCTGCATGTTATGACAGTAAAGGACCGGGACCAAGAGATGAGGGTCGATGTAGACGCCACATACCTGAGCACTCAGCCCGTATCTGTGAGCCGCGGTGAGTCACGGATGACTTTCATCAACTGGATGGACTAAATGGACAGAAGACAAACAGAGCTGGAGATTAGAGGCAGAGTCACGGTGCCGTCATTCCTCTGTCGCCCCCTGATGCCACTTGTACTCCAATCATGATCCTGTACGAACAGCCGCTGTGGTTTGTAGACCCGACTTCCGTTTCTGTCACTAGGGGGCGACACTGCTGGTTTCTTAGTTTATCACGTTTGAGATGAGAATCTAAACAAAAGAAAAAAAAGGAAGAAAAACAGATTAATGATTTCTACTTCACCTGAGTCTGTTTTTTTTTTCTTCCAAAGTCTAAATATTAATATAAAAAAAACGGTCACTCAGACTGAGGCTGTGAGTAATCAATTCAACTGTGGTGTGTTGCTCTCAGTGACACCTTGTGGCTCTGAGCCAGCACTGATTGAAGTGCCAGGTTCAGAGAGGTGACATGCTCTCAAGCAGGTCCATCAGTTCCAGTGGAACCGTTCTAACTGATGAGCTCAAAAAAAAAAAAGAATCTTGCATCACACAAACTTCCTGTCTGGCCTTATCAAACAAGAGGTAAAGCTCAGCTCTGACACACACTAGTTAATGAGTACTTTACGAGTACTTTACAAGTACTGTACTCCATGGTCTCTCACCCCCAGGCCATGAATATTTACCTAATCTTAATCCAAATACTACCTCTAACCTGAACCATATTCTACACCTTAATCCAAATACTACCTCTAACCTGACACTATATTCTAAGGATAATAACACACACACACACACACTGTGGCTGTGCTGCTCTGACTTCAGGCAGATGTTCATACATGGCTGCAGCATATACTTCCTCTGATGAGTCAGACGTTCTCAGACTAAATAAAACACATGAGCTCTGATGTCATCCTTACATACATCATGTATCCAACCATGAGATTTTTTTTGGGGGGTTGGGGGCAAAAAGAAATGAATTCCAACCTGTTTTGGACAGATGAAAACATCTAAGATGTTGTTTGTTTCCATTCAACCAATCACGTCTTCCTGTTTCACCTCAGTATTCCAGCTTCACGTTCAGTGAATCCACTCCAGTCGTCAGAGCTGTCCCCTTGGGTTCTTTCACGCCTGCAGTTTCATCAGAGGAGTCGCCCCCGGACGCAGGTGGACGGTCGGATTCCAGGTGTGATCGGGAATTACAGGAACAGCCTGTCAATTACTGAAGATGACGGGGACGTCACGGCCCACGGATGACTTGTCGTTTTTCCTGCTAACCTGGAGAACAGCGCCTACTTCTGAGGTGAAATCAGACCTGAAGTTGGACTTTAATGAGACTAATAAAAGTTAAACGTCCTCCACTACACTGGCTGTCTTTGTTAACAGAAACTCCAGTATTTACCCTCAGTGTCAGGCAGTCACAGGGCAAGTAGTGACTGGACAGACTCTCCGCAGCAGCCGCCTCAGCTCCATATAAGGCTTCCATACAGCAATTATTGCATAACACAGTTTCGGAATTAAACCCCCCCCCAACATACACACACTAAGCTGGAAAAAATAAATGAACACACTTTAAGAATTAGCGTAAATAGATGAACCACAGCGCAGTGATGCCAACTTGTTACGGAATCAGAGGAGCTAAATTTAAACACATGGTTAACAACAGAGGTCAGACATCTGGTCACACCACGCTAACACGACTGCTAAATGTTAGCACAAGTACAGAGTGTTTCCATATTCAATTTAGAAATGTCACTGCTAACAATTGTGTTTCCATATTCAATTTAGAAATGTCGCTGCTAACATAGAAAAAAAACATAGAAATCACATTTAACAAGTGCTAATTTACACAACTATCTTAAACAAGAAGCTAACTAAATGAGCTGTTAGCTACAGCAAAGCTAATAAAGTTAGCTAACACCTTGCTAAGAACAAAAATGAGCTATTCCTGTGCTATTATATACATTAGGCTATTTATCCAAAGTATTTGTGCAGACAAACTTGGCAGAAACTTGCTAGCTATAATGCACTTAGCCAGAGCTAAATAACAAGTTGCTAAAAAAATGTTAGCTGATAAGTGGGCCATAGTTAAACAGCTTTTATCTGACAGACTTGAAGTATACTTTTTCTTATTTTTGCTAAAGGTTAGCAAAAATGAAAAAGTTGTTATGGCAACAGCAACTGTTAGCTAACAATTTGTTAAAAGTAAATGTTAGCAAAGAAGTGAGGTAAATGTTAGCCTATCAAAAAAATATAATAATAATAATAATAATAAATAATAATAATAAAACTGAGAATAATGTGAAATATATTCCAGTCCAACATCAACTCTCTCTGTGTGAAAACTTCTTCTTTGACTTTTTTTTTTCCTGCTCACTGATGTGATGTCATTGGACGAAGAGCTTCACCCACAGCCTGGCAGAAAATTACAGGCTATCGCTAACAACCTGGAAACACTGCAGAGAGACAGACAACAAACAACATTCACATCTATTCACTGGCTGCTCCTCCGTTCACACCACATTATTCTCCGTCCCCCCGGTGGTGAAATGTCAGGCTTTTTAAGGAGGGTTAGAATAACAGACTGTTTCCACATTTCACAGCAATAAAAACAATAAAAAAGGGACAAGAATTCTGGGAACTATTTTGGGTTGCAGTGTTGTTCGGTGCTATAAAAAGCAGTGTGATTGTTTCGTGACACATGGAAAATAACAAAGAGTGTTGATGGGATGACAGAGAGATGTGTCAGTTTCCTCAGCAACTCTGAGCCTCAACATCTGGTTCTGGTTTAATCTACATTCCCTCTGTTGCTCCAGTTTTTCACTCGGCTTTGTTCACTACATTTGTAGGCTTTTTTCAGACATTCATAAAACAAGTTTTTCTTTTTTCTTTTTCTTTTTTTGCAGATCAAGCATCAAATATTTCTTTTACAAAATTCATATAAATTATTTTTTACTCAGTTTCCTGAATGATTCTATTTTTTTAGGTAGATTTTCATTGTTTTAGGTAAATGTTAGCAATGTTTCAGGCAACATTGACTGATATTGTCGATCATTTTACTCTGTTTTGACTTACAGCTAGTTCTGAGCTAAACCTCTGCTATCTTATATCCTACTGTTAGCTATATTAAAGCTAACATTTAGCTACTTTTACTAAGCTAAATTTAGCTCCTTAGGCTATCCTTCTCTTTCTTTAAGTAAATTTTAAAATACTTTTTGATTTTCTTTTTGTCTATAATTTTGAATTTATTTTTGCAATCATGCATTTCGTCTTTAGCCAATCATGTGACGACTGGATAAGAACTGGACCGGATCCTGGAGCTGATGACAGAAAATCCCATTTAATCCCTCATTTGTTTACCAAACATTTTCCATCTTCTCATCAACGAGCTGTTAAACGTTCCACAGATGAAGGTCTTTGTGAGAGTCGCCCCCTCCTCCTCACCCACCCTTCAAATATTTAAGACGGGGAGCAGGTGGGCCACAGATGCCCCTCATCTCACTTTGCTATTTATTTGTGTGTGTGTGTGTGTGTGTGTGTGTGCAGGTCATCCTGCAGGTTGACTGAGCAGCCTGATGGGTCACAGTCCAGCGATGGAGCTTCAAATGAGGATCAGATGATGCTCACGCCGCTACTTCCTGTCGCTGTTATCACAGCGTTAACAAAAGTCACAAAGAACGACCGTTCAGTCCAAATCAAGACCACAAAACAACTGGACATTACGACAGATCAGGTGATGACAGCGCCACACGCAGGTGCTGTGAAGGAATTAGAAACCGTTTCAACATCAACCCAAATCAGTTTCTCCAAAAGGGATAAAACAAATGTAAATGTGATAAAACACACAGGGTGCTGTGAAGGAATTAGAAACCGTTTGAATTCCAGCCAAATCAGAAAGAAAAATCAGACAGAAACAACTTGAACAACAACGTGAGGATGAAACTATTTCTCTCAGGATCCTGTACTTAATGTCATGGTACAAACCAAAACAAACACCACAGCATTTCCACCATCTCCCTCTGAGAGGATCAGAAACAGCCAATCAGACACAGTGGTTCAGTTTGGACCGGAGGCAGCACCAAACCAGGGACGGAGGACCGGCTTTGCATCATCTCAGAATACCCAGAATTCAGAGTGTTTCCTTGATCTGCTCTGAGCTCAAAGGGAAGGCGTGCAGACCTGACCCCGGGGTCACCGCGCTTCAGATGTGCCGTGGTCGAGGAGCTACAGAGAGAAGCTCTCTGAGTCAGAGTGTGTCTGTGTGTCAGGAAGACCTGAGTGACTCCGGACCCGAGATAAAGTCCAGTGTTTGGACTTAAAAGATGTTCAAAAGAAGGAGGCCTGGGCTGGTGGGAGGAGGTTCAGGAAGGTCTGATGTTTGATGTACGGGTTAGAGGACGTCGGCTGAAGAGAAGAGACTCTGATGCAGTGGAATCTTCTGAGAAAATGAACCACAATAATTAACATGATTGAGACAACGGTGGCGTTGAAGTCCCGTCGTCCATGTTTCCACCTGTACGTCCAGTGAAAACAGTCGATGACACGGAGCACTCTCAGCCAAGAAGACTGAAAATGTCTGGAAGAACGGGGCCAGACATTTTATAGAATTTTCCAGTTTGCCTGCGGTGAAGGTAACGGGAATTTGGTCTGGGTTTCCAACATGTCCAAAAGTCCACAGCATATATATGTACGTCAGACAAGGACGTGGCACCTGTTGGCAGCACCAGAAGACAGGACACAAGGGAACTTTACGACCCTGGGCAGGAGGCAGGAGGCAGGAGGCAGGGGGCGGGAGCCAGGAT